GGTTTATTTCAATATAGGCTATGAAAGCAAAACATAAAATCATTTATATAGCGTTTTGCTAAACGTCAAAAGTATAAAAAAAATATCTAGAATCAGAAATAAACAAAAAACGACTGATCTTTTTTCCCTTCATATTACAAGACGTGAATATAATGACTTAATTTACGAACAAGATGATTTCAACCAAAACCCTTATGGGTGTTTGTAACTTTATGAATATAATGAAAGGGTTTTAGTTAAACTCATCTTGTTCTTAAATTAAGTCATTATATTCATAAAGTTACAAAAATACATAAGAGTTTTAGTTAAACTCATCTTGTTCGTAAATTAAGGTGTGTTTTTGAAACTTTATGAGTATAACGACTTAATTTAAGAACAAGATGAGTTTAACTAAAACCCTTATGGGTGTTTGTAACTTTATGAATTTAATGACTTAATTTACGAACAAGATGACTTTAACTAAAACCTTTGTGGGTTTTTGTAACTTTATGATTCATAAAATATTAATAACTGTACTTTTTCTAGTTATGTTTCAGTATATGTGATAGGTATAATATATTCGAGTGAGTGAGCTGTTGCTTTGTATTTATCGTTTCTGAACTTCTGCAAACATCTTGATCAGGTAACAATTCTCTAAGTTCTTTTGGCTTGACATTCTTATGAATTTCACGGACGTTTCTGTATAAGAAAGTTACTTTTTTGTGTGCGTGGTGAGGAAAGCAAGAGTCTAGAATTATTGAGAATTAATAGTATTTATGTTCGATAGATTTTCTTATTATTGTTTAACAATGTAACTATTAGTTGATTATACAATACATACTATAAGCAGTGCCCGGCATGCCCAGGTGGTTAGGGCGCTCGACTCTCAATCTGTGGGTCGCGGGTTCGAATCCCCGTCACACCAAACATGCTCGCGCTTTCAGCTTGGGGGCGTTATAATGTGACGGTCAATCCCACTATTCGTTGGTAAAAGAGTAGCCCAGGAGTTGGCGGTGGGTGGTGATGACTAGCTGGCTCCCCTCTCGTCTTACACTGCTAAATTAGGGACGGCTAGCGCAGATAACCCTCGTGTAGTTTTGCGCGAAATCCATAACAATCATACTATAAGCAGTTCTCCCAAAATGTGGAGCGCGCCCCCTAGGGTGCGCAAACGATTAGGGTACAGTCAAAATTAAATGTTTTAATACACTTTTTGTTAATGAAAATGACTAATTTCTATAACACATATACCAATTTAATATGTATCCGCAAAGAATCACATTTATTAAAGGGGGCGTGTATGACAAAAGCTTGGGAAGCGCTGCTATACAGTTTAATAAACTATTTTATTACGCTGTTTCGGCATAGACAGAGATAAGCTTCTAATTGTTTTTGTGGAGGGTTAATCTTTTTAAGGGTGATGGTGCGAGGCTGATTATTTTTTACACCGAATACAAGTATTTTTAATTGCTTGGAATTAGCCAGTCTGTTGTTCTACTTATTTTATGTACAATAGTGCCTAAGTATAATTGTTAAGAAACCTTTTAACATTATACCAAGGAAACCGCATAACATCTCCATTTGTCTACAGTCTTCTGTGGACAGTGGCACAACTTAACTATACATGATATAGGAGACATCTTATGAACATTTCATGACTGCTTTAGAAAGTGCGCCCAGCGTACATTTCAACATACAGAAGGCTATAGAATGTGAAGAAAAAAAAATACTCTGAAGGTAAACTAGATAAACAGAAATGGTATTATGAAAAAAATACTTACGAAAACTAGCCGACAAAATAGACAAAGATAGAGCAATACAGGATCTAGTGTAATTACACGTTAAGGAATGAAAATACAAGAAAAATGGGAGTGGTTACCTGAGATGTCATATAGTAAAGCAAACCACTTCTAAGCAAGTAGAGTGTGTGATAGTTTTTACACGATGTTAAACGCGTGAATGTATAAAATATGTGTTTCCAAACAACCAAACAAGATAGAAAATCACATAGTTTTTGAGAAATGTTTTTCACCACGTAAGCTCTGAATGGGGTCTGATTTGAATTTTAAGTACAGTGTGGGTTTTCAAAAGATAGTGAAATTGTTAGGGAAAGATAAATACAATAGGAATGGATACTCCTCTCTGTGTGTAGCGGCACACGATTGATTTGTCCGATGCAAAGGTACCCGTGCTACGCACGGCACTAAACATCACTTTCGTTTGTCATTGACTTCACGTGCTTTGCTTCCGACCTCATTGCTCGAGTGAGTTCTAATTCGCAACATTAAGGCGGCAAAATTGAAATGGATGACAAACTGGAACCGTTTTCCAAAATACCAGGCGAGATTCGTTGTCATGATCGTTTATCCAATTACTTAGGCCACTCTGTGGCTCAGCAGCAGGGCTGATGAATTATAACGCTAAAAACCGGGTTTCCATGCCCGTGGTGGGCACAGCATAGATATCTCATTATGTAACTTTGTGCTTAACAAGAAAGAAAGAAACAAATAATCATTATTAGTCCCCCGGTGAGACAGCGGTAAGTCTACGGATTTACAACGCTAAAATGAGGGGTTCGATTCCCCTCGGTGGACACAGCAGATAGCCCCATGTGACTTTGCTATGAAAAAAATACACACAAACACACACCAATTACTTATCCATTTAAACTCGATCTCAGGGGATCCACTTGAGTTATTCCATCAAATTCAGTCTAAATTGGTTTAGCCAGTTCTTCATAATAACTTGTGACACCAGACAAACAGACATCTCTGATTTATATATGTATATTCAGTTATGAACTATAAGATATTGAATGATAAAAGGGAAAAAGATACATTATTTAAAAGTAGCATCGTTTCTGATCCTCATAATGTTATAATTATGATCTAATATACAATGCGTCATGAAACACTTTTAAATCAGAAGTTTATAAATAAATGGGATAAAATTTTATAATAAAATAACACAGGGTACCATAGTATGTATATTTATTAGGGAGAACAATAAAACATAGGCCTAAATGGTAACCCTCAAAATACTAGTTTGTTTACGTACTGTTTGATCATTACTGGTTGAATCTGCGTATAGAGTAATTTTTTGTTTTTACCCATCACAAAACTCAGTTTAGAGATATAACCAAAAAATGGGGTGAAATTGCTAATGTTCTATATAAAATACATAATAAAATCAAGTAGTAATTAGTTGAATTAATTTACAGTATTTTAATTAACTTTTTTTTGCGTAACTTGTTTGTTATTGGTAATTCTGTACTCAGTAAGGTCATGAGTACACGTACAATGTAGTGCATAAGCAGTTCGGAAAAATCTATGAAGCCAATCGGTAAGTGTAGGGTTAATGAGTTATAGCTCTTGCACCCTGGTGTCTCAACAGTAAGCTCGAGGGCTTATAACAATAAAATTTTAGGTTCTATAATTATCAATAAATAAATAATTATTATGTAGTTTTCTGTTTAAGGAAACGAACAATGAAAAAATTCAGATAAATACTGCTGAAACTAACGAGCGAGAAAAATAATGACACCCTGATATTAGCAGTTGAAAAATACGTTTTGAAGTACTGATTGGGCAACAATAAAAAGAACACAATAAAAAGAAATTGCCTTAAGCAATTGAAAACATCCAAATAAATAGGATCGTTTCAAACACGAAATGTAACAATTCGATTAAATTTATGTATCGTTTCAAAGCAAGTGCTCAAATTTATTGCTTCTCTTTATTTACTTTATTCTATAATTAATGATGAATCTGGTACTTAAAAACAACTATCCTAAATGTTAACGTTAAAATTACCCTTATCATCGAAATTTCTAGCAGAATGCTACAATGCCTCAAATTCTTGTTTTCTCCAGATGTTTTCATTGATTTTTGTAGCATATCTTATTATCTCTGTATGATTTTAGAAAATTAGTTAGTACTCATTATTATATCCTTCCATTTTTACCATACTTTAAGTATATTATCTATATCGGCAACCGAAAAAAAACAAAGGTTTTCCTGTAGGTTTTTATTTATAGGGGTCGCTATTTTACTTCATACAACTACAAAAAAAAAAAATATTTGGAGTCCCACCAGGGAGGAGAAGTGTCCGGGCCACTACCTAATGTTTGGGGCACGCAGTCGACCGAAAATAGAACAAATACTAGCATGAGGTGCGAGGATAGGCGTTTAGGCTAACAGTTTTCTGCCAATCTGCACGGTTTTATGAAGGTTTAGCTTGACTTAAGTTGAGGGTTTGTAGTTGACCTTGTGAGGCGAACAGATGGACCAATACGAACCAAAAGAGGAAGGAGTGGCCATTATGTTTCGGGAGTATTTAGGCCCTCATATTGTAGCTACGATGTTGAATGCCTATTACCCGGATTAGAGAAGATCGTCCACTGACAAGTAATACTGAGATAAATGGGCAACCAACTTCTTCTGTAAAGCGATTTACCTCGTTCTGGCACACGGCCTCAGGTGCAACTAGCCCGGCCCGTGAAAACTTAATTACACTTGTCCTGAGGCTGCACCGGCCACTCAACCTTACTGCCCCGCAGGATAGCATGCCGTGCCGCACATGGGTAGCACTCCCTCCTCACAGTCGTTGTTCTGGCATCTGTCAAAGCTATGCATTATGTGTCTATTCCAGCGGGCCTATCGGAGGCTCAGCCGTGCACCCCCTGCCGCCCCTTCCCCAGGGTCGGTTCAACTTTTCCATTTTCTTGCCCCAGCGTCACGCTATCGGCACACCGAAGAAGCTTCGGCATTTCGTACTGAAGTTTACGTGCCGAATACGGTTGACTGCTGGGTAGTCAGGTTAGGCTTACCTCGTTAACAACCGTGGCCAAAAGCACGCAAGGCTTAACGACAAGCAGAAAGATCTAGTCTTTAACCAATGGGATATATATTCAAGTATTTGGATGAAATAATGGTTTTGAAATATTGGTGAATGCCGAAACCAAAGTACAGGATCTGTGTGTTCTAAACCTATGCCTCAGAAGTACCCCTCTTCTACCGCAGGTCTGCCGCTCCAGTTCCCCAGTGCTTTTGCTACAGTGCACGCCCCGATTCCTGTAGACCAGCGGACGCACGACGGCCGTTATGTGTGGGAACCTCGTTTATCGTCTTTTCCTCACCATAGTTCACCTGGGTAAGTCGTAACTTTCTTAGCAACTAGAGAACTATTTTCATTTGCTATTCTTTTCAAGTGAACTCTAGTTTTACGAGTATACACTCCTTGTTAGAATGAAATATTAATATGAATGTTTTCAGTTTCTCTTTAATTTGAATTTTAAGAATTTCTATTATGAACTAATCAAGTGATTACATCCGATTGAAAGATAACATTTCATTAGGAAAGTAATTATTACTTTTTTCTGATAAATTTATCATATTTCGTATTAGTTCATTTGAGAGAAGTAAAGAATGTGTTTACTGATCACGGTAAACAGTCTACGGCCACAGTTTATTTATTATTTTACGTTCGGATTGACCCTACTGAGTGATATCTGCGTGACAGCCACCCCTTAACCGTTATCTTTGTTTATCTTTACTGTCACGGTATAAGTAACCGAATCCACTGTTGAACCATGAATTTATATTTGCACCATGCAGATAGAACGAGACACCAACGCTACAAGAATCCCATATTAGGTTATCCAACAGAAGAATGCCCTGTTTATTTACCAGGAAGTTTAACTTAACTAAAAAGTGAGATCTCTCTTACGAGTTTTGGAGCTAATGCCTTTGCTTTGGTGTCCGAAGTAACAACAAATAACGCTAATTGTACGCCTATAGTTTTCACGTCTGAATCGGACAAGATTACTCACGAAACACACACACACACATATATATATATACACAATCTGCTAAAGTTGGATTAGAAAGGATACTACACAGCGTTTTTAAAAGTTCACGGTAGACATTGATTTAAAAAACCAACATCAGAGACAACTACAGAGACGGGAGCAGCCTAACCTTATGTGTTTGTGCAAGTAGATGTTTCACGATGATGTACCCGTTTTAAAGAAAACAAGGTATAATATTACTGGACTCTTCTGTATGAAAACATTTGCAAAGAGCCTTAAAACTTAAAACAAGGTATAATATTACTGGAATCTCCTGTGTGAAAACATTTGCAAAGAGCCTTAAAACAAGGTATAATATTACTGGAATCTCCTGTATGAAAACATTTGCAAAGAGCCTTAAAATAAGTGACAGATTATACAGGGATATTTAGCCAGTCTTTAGTAGATGCAAGAACCTCAGTCAAACACAATCCACAAAGGATTCTATAGCCAAATGGTGAATATTCTGCCCCAAACTACCCCCCCCTCCAAACACAGTTATTATGTTAGCTGCCATATTTAAAATGCACTATTAGAAATCGTCTTGTAAATTAACAAATGCGTCTATAATTGTGAATAATAATAATTTCTAAATCAATTGTATGCAGTTATTTTTTCATGGTGTAAGACTATTAATCGATTTAAAGATTGATGTGAAAACAGATAACATTAGAAATTTCTTTAGAAGTGAATTCATGCAAGGAAAATAATCATAAAAGGTATGCCATCTGGTGATTATGTTCATTGCGAAAAAAAACACACACATTAAGGGTAATATTAAGTGCAACTTCTGCCCTATATTGTAGGAGATTAAAGCCTCTAAGTAATTTTTGGATACAACTTTTGAACATCAATCTGTTACATTGTGTTATCTGGAAGAAAGAGAATTCCAGTATATTAGCGAGCATCAGAGTATACAAGTTTTCTTAAATAAAATATCCCTATATTCTGTTGATAAGAAAGATAGTGTTTGATGTAATATCCATTCATTGATGTAAAATTACGTCAATTTACTATAAATCTGTGTTATTTCATGCATTCCACTATCCTATAGCTAACTTTATGAAAGGTTATTCTTTTTTTTTTACCAAATAGTGTATAATTTCCACGTGTAACTTTAACTATCCCCATACAGTTAGCTATCAGATAGTAAAGTTACACGTGGTAATTATACACTATTTGGTAAAAAAAGAATAACCTTTCATACAGTTAGCTATCAGATAGTAAAGTTACACGTGGAAATTATACACTATTTGGTAAAAAACAGAATAACCTTTCATACAGTTAGCTATAAGGTTATCTTTTTTGTTCTTGTAACTTTACAGATTGTTATATCAATATTATTATTTTTTAAATTCTACTAAAATAACCATCTAGGTTGGTTCATATAACACCAAAAGGCACTATGTGCAAATAAGTTTGAAAATAAATCCGCCAACTCATGTTTGTAATTGATGAGTAAGGAGAGAAAAAATGAGTATAAATGAAAACAGGACTGCGATTAAGTCGTTGTACTGGTTAAGTGGCTGAACTGACACATTTAAAAAGGGTTCGAACACTTACCTATGTATTCTATACCATATTAGCTCATATCCTGATATATTCTCTATAAGTGTGAGCTATAGATCTCGTAATCTATGTCCGCTATTAGCATCATTTTTAGAACATTTTGCGTTTACTGTAGACGTAAATGAAGTGTCAAATAGAATGTTTGTTAGCTATTACCTTTCACACGGGAAAAGTACGATAATGCATACCTCAACATTTGCCAAGTAGTGTAAAATATTCTACCCATATGTACTGTTCCCCAAGTATCATTCTTATTACATACGATTTGCAGTTAAAATCCTTCATTTGTCAAAGACTGAACTGAATAATTAATTAAAGTCATTCTAAAAGTATTTTCCGTCTTAGGAATTCTGGCAGAATTATGAAAAACGAAGATGGACATTTCTTGCGTTGCTATGCATATAAGCCATGTAAAACAATTTTTTTTGGTAGTTTTATAATGTGCCACTAGGTGATGAGCACCATGTCTGTTAATTCTCGTTTATTGCACTTTTATAAAACACATTATAGTTGACTGCGTGTCTGTATGATGGCCGTTTTGTCGTACCAGTTTTCTTGAAAATCTGATATGGCACAGCCCTCATCGATAAATCTGTGAAAAACAAATGGCGTTGGCAGTGGTGTGAAGATATTCTTTAAGTAGGCCGCATGGACAGTGAGTAGGGAATACTGACAACATTCCTGGGAAATGTTTTGGTGTTGTTTGTAACCGATGTCTGAATTATGGAAGCACTGTCAAAAAAAAGTATTTCGTAATAACCACATATACTGAGCAAATAGGGTTACTTTCACCAAGTGTTGGGGAATTACAAGCCAGGTCAGCAAAGTCCAAAAAGCCAAGGATAACCTCAATTATGGACTGGATTAAGACTGCCAAATAAAAACATAAGAAAGGTTACAAACGAGAAGAGGCCATTCGGTCTCTCTTGTTAATTTGGTTGTTGATCCAGGAATCTCATTAAGCTGTTTATTGAAGGATCTCAGAGTTTCGGCTTCAACAACATGGCCGGACAGTTTATTCCGAACAGCCATGACTCTTTGTGCAAAGAAATTCCTTCTATAGCCAGTACTAAATGTATCTTCACTTAATTTCCCCCAACGGCCTCTATAAGGAGTGATTAGTTTTGGTTTTAAGACAACAGGAGCAGATCGTTCTTGCGTATAGCCTGGTGTTTTATTTGGGAATTTTTTAAAACTTTTGTGTGTACTTTATTTGTACAATTAAAAGCTTCTTTTGCAATTATTATGAATAGTATGTGTGTTTAGTTTTGTAGGTTGTATATATATTTGTTTTGTAATTGTAGTGCGACAGTTAAAATATCAACTGCTAAAAAAATTCAACTCGCTTCTTTCAGCAGCTTACATTTTCAGTCTTGGCTACTTTGCTGTACTCCCACCCCTATAATGGTAAAAAATCTTAGACCCACTCAAAAGTAGAATAAACATTTCTTTCCAGCCTGCCATGGCCTGGTGTTTAGGGCTCGGATCCCATCACCCAACATCTCGCCCTTTCACCCTTTATAATGTGATGGTCAATTCACTATTTGATTATATTAGCTCAAAGTTGTCGGTAGGTAGCGTTGACTGTCTTCCATGTAGCCTATCACTTCTGAATTAGGGATAGCTAGCGAAGATAGCCCCTAGTAGCTTTGTGAGAAATTCAACAAACAAACAAAACATTTATTGCCCGATTATATTTAAATAATAACTTAACAGTGCATTTGAACCCTTACTTCTCCAGTTTTAACCTGAAACTATTTTTTTCCTAGACATTCGTAAGGAATAGATGTTTTAAAAGCGATTTATATTGTTTGCCCATCAGTGATTTCGCCTTGGGTAATTTTTGTTTGTTTGTTTTAAAGCAAAGCCATATTGGGCTATCTGCTGTGTGCACCGCGGGGGATCGAACCCCGGATTTTAGCGTAGGCTTACCGCTGTCCCATCGAGGGACGTTTCGTGTAGTCATGTTTGTTTTTTGTTTGTTTGTAATTAAGCACAAAGCTCCACAAGGGCTATCTGTGCTCTGCCCACCACGGGTATCGAAACCCGGTTTTTAGCGTTGTAAGTCTGCAGACATGCCGCTGTGCCTCTGGGGGGGGCGTATAGTCATATATATATATATATTTTACATATTTAAAATTAATTTGTATGCAAGATAAGTAAACATGAAAATAATAGGATACCTTAAATAGGAGCATAAAAACTCTTAAATAATATTGCCATCAAGCTTAAAACAGACATTATGTCCGTAATCAAAACAATTAGTTAGAATAGACGTTACGCGTGAGCATACACACACACACACACACACACACATATATAAAACATTCAAAGATATGACATGAAAAGTTGTTTTAAAGTATTTCATGCCATTTATTCGAACTAACAACAGCACCACTACCATTTGTGAATTTACCTTTTTCGAACTTTAGGTTGTAAATATCACGCGTCCAATTAGTACTTAATATTCTACATTAAAAGGTTGTTGTTTATTGGATTGAAGTTAAGCACAAGGCGACATAATGGGCTATATGTGCTCTGCCCATCACGGGTATTGAAATCCGGTTTATGGCGTTGTAAGTCCGCAGAAATACCGCTGTGCCACTAGGAGGCACATTTAAACAGTAACCCAGTCACATAAAGTGGTACACGTAATGTGTCAAAATCCAGTTCCATATATATATATATATGAGTATGCGCAACTAGCTTCTTACATCCGTAAAAGTTTGTATGT